AAGTAGCAGTTACATAATGATTAGTATAAAGCTAAGCTGCAATATGTTAATTACTTTTTTTCTTAGTCTTGTTGTCCAATGTTAGGATCTTGACCACATTCCTTCTGTCGTAAAGATGAGCTCCATGTTGTTCTTGCGTATCTTCTCGTTATCATCTTATACACCGTACATAATGCATTAAAGGCGCCCTGCTTTAACTTAGGACTTCCGAAAACTTCTCAAGAAATATTTCTCATCAAATTCTTCCCTTTTTATTTCTTTCAATCTCCTAAATATGTACTTCAGAAAGTGTGAAATACTGTTCCGCACTTTTAAAATGATTTCAGACTGCTATTTTTCAAGCTAACAGCGAAACAAACAATAAACGATGCTCCGGTAAGAAGTGAGCTTGTAAATACACAGGAATACAGTATATTGCTATTCTTTGGATAGCTATGTCTAATTATAGATTTTAGTACTGGTTGAATAAACTAACACCACCAAAATGATGCTCGATATTCTATTCACTCATTAGTCCAAACCAGATGTTAGTGTAATACCAGGTGCCTGTTTCACACTGCCTTTTATTACTGTTATTATTAACATTATTCAAATGTGACGGTTGTTCTGCTTAAAGATATTGTACAGGGAATGAATTTGTTGAACTATTACATGCCGAGAATTCCAAGTTGTACCGCAAGTCTTGTTTGGAATAAAGCTGTTCTTTATTTTTGCTACTATATTTTTACTATTTCTTAATAATTTTGCTTTTAGCTTCCATTTCTGTTCAGCTATATGTTGCTGACATTTTTTAGAGCTGTGGCAAACTGAATCACTGTGCATATGACATGACGATTGCATTATTTTGTAGACTAATAGAAGTAGAAATTTGTGGACCTATTTAGTTTTAATTTAGTAGATGAATAGTAACGTGCTGACAATGGGACCTGATGACCGCTGTTTCATAGGGTTATTGTTGTCGACCAATGAAAAACTTAGCACTCAGTGTTTCTAGCTTCGCAGTGGTCTTCCAGCCAGTCCGAATGCGTGATGAGAACACACTTGAGCACACCGATTTTAGTTGGGCATTATTCAGGATTTGACTGTTGATTACAGTGGCTTTACCAACAGGTTCAGTGACTTCATCAGCACTTTTAATAAAAGGTGAAGTCCTTATAAACCACAGGGATGTGCATATTGTATATTTTTTAAACTTTAAACTATTTAGAAACCATATATTTCAAAGGTACACCAGTACTTGTGATGAAAATCATCTAGGTAATATTATCAGGTCGTTTGATTATTTCCAAATAAAAAGATTGAAGTTCGTGAAAAAATACACCCACTGAACAACAGAAGTATGTGGGTACAACAGAAGTGGTCAATGATGCTCGTAAAATGAATGATACTACTAACAGTTTAATAATATTTCCATTATTTACTAAGAATACCAGCTTATCGAAGTTAAGTGACTGTTTTCAACCTTCCTGATGTATTCGACACAACAGTTAAAATCTGCCATTTCACATCTCATGTTTTTTCGATGTGACATCAATTAAAGTGCACCGTTATATTAAGCCTCTTAAAGTGTAGTCTAAGTATATTTCTCGTTTCAAAAATCTTCATCGGTATTGACTTTGTTAGTAAACTTCACTAAAGTATATCTGTTACTTCCATATCTCGATGCTGACGACAGTGCCTATTCTATTATAGGATGAAAAGAATTCAGAAATTTTCTATCATAAAATTATTTACACTGATTGAGTTTCTGATTTCAATAAAGCATCATGGTCTAGTCTAGGTTTATAGCTACGGCAAAGGCATAAAAAGGAGTGTTTGTATCATTGCATTTAAGAGGACAAGTCAAGTCTAAAACTGTATTGATTGGTCACGGGAGTGCAACCAATTTCATGTTGTCTAGTCCTGAGTGCAGATCGAATTCTGTCAATCATATTTGCAATGTGGCAACCAAGCTAGGAAGCTCAGCATCGCAGTGCACATTAGTAAATTTTAGTTGGTTGGAGGCAATAGACAGGAAGCCCTGGACCTAGCTTGGTTGCCACATTGCAAGTACGATCGACAGAATTCGATCTGCACTCAGGGCTAGACAACATGAAATTGGTTGCACTCCTGTGAACAATCAAAACATGTAAGCCAGTCCTACAGGAGGTCAGTCGCGGCCCGAATAGCTCAGTGGTCAAGTCGCTGACTACAACACTGGGTGACGCGGGTTCGAATCTCGTGTGGGACATCAGTTCCGTGGAGGTTGCAGATATGCCTTGCTGACGAGTGCCAAAAAGCATGAAACCTAGGTGCAGGGCTTCCTGCCTATTGCCTCCAACCAACTAACAAGTCTAAAACTAAATTGTCCATATATCAAACATCCGGTGATGAAACATGTTGTATACTCAGAAGGAACAAGAGCAACAACAACAGTTCTCAAAAGTTCATATTCTCTGGCATCTTATGGACTAGCCATCCACGTTTTAATGCCTTATGTATATTTTCTGTATATTTGGTAAGTAAGATGACGTGCATTGTGTGGGTTGGCCATCTGACTTCTTCCTGTCTCTGAATCAGGTGATGCGACCATCATGATAATGCGATCAAATTAAATGTAACGACTAGATACAGAAATAATTTGAACTCGAAAAGCTACTTGAACAATGACTGAAACGATCAATTAGATTTCTCAATTTCCTGTAAAAACTTACTTTCAGGTAGAAATACAGAGGATTGATTGCTCATTCAATGTTTGTTAGGGGGGTCATTACGGTCACTCATAATAACAGATAAGGTGATTAGCTTGCGTGATCTGTGGCAACGGTGAGATATCCAGTTATCTATCACAGGACAAGTATACTACGCGGCAGCGCGCTCTGTCATGTTGCATTGCCGATACATGGCTGTTGAAGGCAGAATATATGAAGGGGTCACAGGATTTTTATCACAGGTGCTTTCGCAGCATTCCTCGCATATGGTGGAGTCACTCTGTATGAAACCTTAAGGTTAGGTGAATGGTACTAAGCAAGGAAGGAAGATCTGACGGTGAGGTTGTGAGCTTTCATCGACTGCGGTGGCTTGGACATGTACTGCACATGCCACAGGCTTTGTGGCAAAGGAAATTTGGATTAAGTTGGAAAAGGATGCAGGGTGGTTAGATCAAGACCTGGCACCAGTCGATGAAGTCTCTTACTGTTAGTCTAAGCCATATAGGGTAATGTAGACTACCTTTCTTGGGTCCATTAGACGATAGGAAAAAGTACTTGAGAACTCTTGGTGACATGACTAAAAATCGGTCACCATGGTGCAGATGTGTTCTCTCCTTGACATCTTCTAAAGCTCAAAAATTGGAACTAACCTTGTCTTCAAACTGTTCATTCTCTCACTCAACATTGTCTTGATATCATTCTTTTGTATCTACCTGTTTTTTGAACACTACTGTGAAGGGCGAAAACTTCAACCTATGCACTTGTGTGAGAGGTTCTAAGTTGATTTGTTTGTCTGTCCGTCTCTCTGATTTTAAAGGTCACCCTATCAACTACCGAGATAGCTAATTAGGCTCATCTGCTTTGACTGAAAAATTGGTTTTGCATGGGAGAAAGCGACGCCAGTGACTCTAAAATCCTCTCTGATAATTACTGTAGTAACCGTTTTGGTTTTGTTTATCTCACATGGCCCACTAGTTTCTGATCAAATAAAGAAACCCTACTGGTTATTCCTGTAATTGCTAGGATGACCTTTACAGTCAGTCTAATAAACAGGACCAGCCTTCTGTATTTTACTCACTCTGTTAGTTATAGGGGTCAAATAAGAAACGTATGACGAGGTGAGGACCAGTAACAACGGAGATACTGTCAGATCAGGAACATAACAATATGCACATATAAAATAAATCCGTATAGTCAGTGAAAATGATAACTAAGAAAAAATTTTACTCCTCCTAAATAGATTATTCATGTACAGAGAGCAGATTTAGCCCAAAATGTGAAAAATGTGGATATTTTGTAAGGGAAGTTATGATTTGAAAATAGTTTTACTCTGTGTACTAGAAGCATCTACTGTTAAATTTCAACAATGTGTAAGATTTCCAAAGCATACTGAATTGTATACATCCGGTCCCTTGATAAGTTAGTGAGAGCTTTAAAAAACTCATAATGATATGATAATTACACTAATGGGATAAAATTTCGAACAAAATTTATGATTAACAAAAATATCAAGTCAACTAGACAACCTTAGTATGTAATTTTCCAATTTTCTAATTGTTAGAATATTCGTTGTTTAACAGATAAATATTTAGAACGAATGGTTACACTTGGAAAAACTACTTGTTCGTTATACTAACCAAACAAAAAAAAACAAGCTGAATCGTCTTGGTAACCATACGCAAGCTCATGAACTAGGTGATGCGCCGCACTTGTTGCGTAGGCGGTAATGATACTGCCTAAACACTCAAAATTTGACAAATGAGGGGGGACTCAAAATAACTCTCTACTGGTTTCAAAGGACCTAACCGCTGGGACCAGTAAGTAAAAGTAGCGCTCATTTACAGTCAAGTACAACTACTTTTCATTCATATACATGACTAATTACTAGTTCCTAGTAAGTTCAGAATTTTGTAGTAAATTATAATGAAAGTCAAATATCATCCTATACTGAATTCAACATATAAATGAATGTGTATTTTTATACTAACAGAAATACAGGAAACCAGAACATTAGGAGGGATTGAGTGAAGTATCAAAGAAGAAAAATAAACAATTCAGTCAACTGAAGTTGTCACATTTCAGTTTTCAAGTTTTCTACACACAAATTTTCATAAATTGACATCACTCAAGGGACTGTTATGTTACTTGATGATATTCTGAGATTTGTAAAACCTTAAATTGGCAAATTATAACATCTTTTACCAACATAAACTCGTATGAATACAGAAATATACTTTTAATTGGCACATAACAGTGGCTTACAGCTATAAGAAAACAAAATCTGTCTCGGTAAATAAACCTGTGATCCATCTAGCAATAGTTTATAACGAAGGCAAAAGTATAAGTAAAATGCTGAATGAAACTGATTCTCATAAAATGTGAAACAGTATCAACCAATCCATCTATACGACAAACAACTATATCATAGAAAAACTTACTAAGCACTTTCACATCTGTTAGTTTATCGAAGTTTATAATATCCATGTGCTTTGATGACATATAATACTCCATTAAAGTTTGTAAACTTTCATTCAATAACTTAGTTATATTACTAATAGGATCAGAATATTTATCAGTAAAATTAATAAGGAGATGGGCTTCTGCTGTGGTTGGATCTTTTGTAAACTGTTTAAAATGGCATTTCACATTTTGTATATCTTCAATAGCTGCAGCCTTCACACTGTTTAAAAGCTGAGTTCCAGTGATAATGCGAATAATATGAAGCGGTGGATTATTAATGTGTGGAGAGAGAAGAAAACGTAGAATGTGAATGATTATTTCAAATTCCTAAGAGTTGACAAAAATCACTCATTGTGAGAAAGTTGATGGAAAACCACACATTTCAAGGATATTTAAGCGAGATAATCTTCATGGAAAAGGTAAATTCTTTGTAAGTGCTCCTTTTCTCTTACGTCTTGCATATGCTGACTGAATTCTCGATAAATATAAGACTTTTATTTAATTCTCTATAGTTCTACAATTGACCAATACGTTCCAGTATTTGCATATAAATCTGATGAACTTAAAGTGTAAGAACTGTTTAACAGATGACTGTTTAATTTTAAAAACTTATCAAAATCTACTGATACATCTTGCTGGTGAATACCAACAAGTGAAGACTTTAAATGGACGCCTTTCCGCCAATTATTCTAAAGCATCTAACAGTGATTGTTCAAATTTTCCAGAAATGGAGGTTATCCATCATTTTCCCATTTTTTTAGATTTGTACTTGTTGCCTTTCAAGGTAGTATGAACTTTTTGACTTACCAGATGACAGAATGTATGAGAAATATTTTGAAAGATTATAGATCTCGGTTCGGTAAGATCAGATGTCCAAGGGACAATTCTGTCTTGATAGAGTAATGCAGACTGCACGATTATTAACAGTGAAACTAAAAAGTATGAATAAAGAAGACGGTAAATATCTCAAAATACTTGGTTATTTTGCATAGTAGGCTTCCAAATTATTTTCTTAGGATGTTGTCAGTTAAATGAATTTAGGTGGAGTTTTTAAACAAGTCAAAATCCCTACAAAATGTTTCTTGGAGGTTTGTGGAAACTGACTGATTGATTTCAAGTTAGTATTCATACCTAACTGACATCAGTTACAGAAACCTGGGAGGACTGGACAGCTATTTAATTCTATTAAAGGACTCCTCAATGGTTCGCATCCATGACTCCACTAGGGGTCGAACCCAGAACTGTCAGGTTCCGCGACCAGCACGTTACCATTTTTTTCGTAAACATCATATGAAATCTACCATTTCAATACGGCGCATCTTCACCAAAGCAAACAGTGGATTTATCTAGACTTGAAGAATGACAACTTTGCATGCAGTCAACTAATTCAGCGAGTGAGTTTACTTAACTGCCTGTTACTAAAGAATTAGTTTTATTACTAGATAGAGAAACTGTTAGTTATCAATTAAAATCCAGCTAGAAGAGAAGCAAGTGAAGAAAGAAAACCTCATTAAGCCTAAGTTTATCATTCAGCTCCAATATATCGAGTGCAGGCAGGGTCAAAAGATGTTGTTTTAAATAGCATATGTTGAACAATAGGTGACTCTAGTAAGTGAACAAACAAGTGGATAAAATCCTGACATTTAAAGATATGGACTGTGGGTTTGAGACTTCCTGAGAATACCCGTACTCACTGAGATGCTAGTATTTCAGGTTGATGAATGTGAAGTAGAACAGACTGTGGTTTCTCGATTTATTGCTGATCAATTTTAAATATACGACGAGGATTCAATCATAAGCAGCGTCAAGAAATTAGCACATGTTTCAATAGGCAAACAGAGACTGATCAGTTAGATCTTGCAGATCACTAGTGGAGAAGGTAGAAAACCTAAGTGACAATTTGCAAATTGATTACCAGTGGATAAACCCAACTCTGGATTTCTGTTAGTTAAGTTTTTTCTCAACTGAATGGTAAACTCAATAAGGTTCATAGTAGAAACCATACAACCAAGTTCATAGGCCATCATCTTTGACTTTACTGTTCGGAACTATTCTAGTAGAAAACATAAGATTAGTTTGAAATCACCAATGCCTGTCAGCAAGTTGGTTTTGATAATCTGACCAGACCGATTCAAACATCCTAAGACTGTTTTGCTACTTCGTAGTGTAGCTCATGCCCCACTTCTGCTGTTTAATTCAATTCAGTAGATTGATTGTTCGACCTTCTGAATTTATTCACGTGGCAGACAGATCCATTTGCTGAAAAAACCGATCGACAATATTTGAGCCAACTGTATGTCCTCTGGCACTATTAAGCCTTGTCTATATTGGAATAAGTCTTATCAAACACAGTTTTCTATGGAGACTACCAAAATGAGTGAAATCAAGAGATGAGTTTGTTATGTCACCACTAGATTACCACTTTTCCGTACTATGAAGTGATTTTTTTCAAATATTTATTTTGCAACAGAAAACTAGCATTTAAATAAACTGGATCTAGTTGAATTCAACTGTATGATTTAAGGCAAAAAACAGGTGAGTTGTTTTAGGTTACCTACATCTTCATTCATATCTTAGGTAACAAGTGTTTAAGCATAAACAACTGTTATCAGAAAAGTATCTTTCGGGGACAGGACTATAGACGCAACAAAATACCGAAAAAAAATAATCTCCATCAGCAGTCTGCGGCTAAAATAAGACTGATGACAGAAAAAGAAAAATATTTATGTCTGTTTGCATACTGTTTGGGAGTATGCTGTCTCCTAATACGCTAACAGTGTTTTCTCAGTTTGCGACGCCATAAATCCATATTACAGGCCTTTCAAGGACAACAGCAACTATCTTCTCAGCCAATTATCTGAGTAATATCTTGGAAAAATTATTCAATAAAGTTAAGCTCATCAAACAGGTGTGAACAAAACACTAACCAGAAAACACATTGAGGCAAGATGTATTATGGAATATAAAGCAACTCACTGAAATTCATGTTATCTGCGGGTGGATTGTAGTGAACTAAATGGTGTGAAAAAATTTTGTCATGCAATAAAAGTAGCGTTGACCAATGAAAAATTGAAATCTTAGTAATTGATGACCTTAACGAAAAGGCGGAGAGAAATTTACACTATTTGAAGTACCTATGTATTTATGAGGGAGGAAATGACGGGAAAAATAATGTGGAATTCTATTCTAGGGACAATAGCATTCAGTGAAATATACTAAGGAACTCATTACAGTGGCGTAGAATATTTAGGATTATTAAATTACTTAGGTTCTTATAGTACATTCAGTTCTACAGTGCTAAGTATATTCGATTCGGAGAAAAATGATGCGACCCACAAACAAAGATGGTTTAACATTGATGTGTTTTGACAAGTAGGGACTGGAGTCAAAGTGAGTCGAAGATAACATTTGTGCCTAAGACATCATAAGATGGTTTCTTACTACTACCGGACCACTGGTTTCCATGAGGTTACTAAGAGGTCAAGAATATGAACGCATATATATATATATATATATATATATATATATATATGTATATATCTTGGCGACTATCAGTAGACTCACATTTCATGCTATCTAGTACTTGTCAGCTGGATGCACCTGCACTCCATTGAGTGATGTTCTCACTGGGACTTGACCCCAGTACTCATTACTTCAAACCCTGGACTGTTATTCACTAGGTCAACGCGGTATGATAGTCACCTCTTGTTCAACGGGAATGAGTTGTTGTTTTGACACTCGTAATTTCTCGTCGCTTTACACACATGTATATGTGTATAGAACGCTGAAGGGGTTACAAAGTGAGTCTTGTTAAACATATTACTTGCCAAAGTTAGGAACCGCAGATTGTCCTCTTGACGAAATTTCAACTTTGACTTAGATATTTGAAATAAAAGTCATATTGAGTGAAAACATAAATCAAAAGGAACATTACTTCAAAACCTAAAATGTTTGTGATTGCTGTAGTTATTCTTATTTCATAGTTCGGGTCCGGATGGTATGTCAAGTTTCATATTCACTAAGTGTGCTGATATTTTATACCATCAATTAGCTAACATGTTCAATAGATCGTTTTTAGAAGACCTCATACCACCTGTCTGGAAGGATATTAAAGATAGTCCACATACCTAAGTCAAAGTCCAGGCTTATGTCCGAAATTCCGTCCGATTGCAGTTACCTCTCCGTTCTTGAAAATAATAGAGAAGCCAATAATACTTGGGCTCGAACCTCACTAAAGGCTTTTGATGACCCTAATCAATTTCCATATGAAAACAGAAGAAGTAATTTGGATGCCACCGCTGTTTCATATCACAATGCTGCTTGTACTCCTGATAGAAATGCGAAGTATGTCAGGTGTGACATTTAAGACTATATTTCGGAATATGATTCTGTCCCAAGACCTCTTCTTCTGGACAAGCTAACCGGGACAAATACGAGGTCCTGAATAATGAGCTGGCTGTATTCCTATTTCTCTAAAAGGAAACAGCACATTGTTCACAGAGAGATCCACTCCACCTCATTCTTACTGTGACTGGTGTTCACCAGGGAGCCATCCTTTCCCCAAGTCTTTTCTCATTCTTTTGCATGACCTACTGTCTTCATCTGGTACCAATTTCATTAAATATGCTGATGACCTTACAGTTTCCGTACCTGTCTCCACTTCAACAGATTGTTCCCAACTGAATGATTTCTTATCTACTGTTACATGATGGTCCTCCTAGAATGGTCTTATGCTTAATTCTTCAAAATATCAGACAATAAACTTCAGTTTTAGATGTGAACATAACCTATGTAAACCACTTAGTTCTCATGATTCCTGGTCCATTGACAGTTGTGCATCAGAAAGTGTTTCAAATATGATTTATCTCGGTGTGTATTTTTCTTCGGATCCTTCCTAATCCTCGTATATCTTACTAATTTCCAAAAGAAATTTTCTGCCTAACTTTCTAGAGTAGAAAGCTGAAAGTATCTGGTACTGCTCAGCCGCTCCTTTTGTGTTTTATAAACTCCAGCATCTTGTCTAATTTCCTCTTTTATTCTGCTTTATTTTT